CCCCCCCCCCCCCCCCCCCCCCCCCACCTTGGATCCGCCAATGGAGCCAACACCAATCATCCGATAGCAGAGATTTTGGCCATTGGATTAGCTGTAATACATAATCCGATTCTCCTTTTAGAATTACTCAGCAACAAAGCTGATGGCAGTTTTGACTCCCCAACATGCACCAGAAGCAATTTTCCAATTAATCTTATGAAAGAATCGCAGAAAAACTGGATTTTTTATTAGCGGAATCGAATCTTTGTCATTCAGCACGAAAAAAGCGGTTTTGCTAAAACTGCACCTAATCGGTTCCAAATTTTTTTTAAATTTTTGATTTTTATTTGAGTAAAATTTTTTAACAGTAAAATTTATATTTTTAAACTTTCATTTTTATCAGTAAAAAAGATTTTTTCGAAAAATATATCTTTTTTAATGAAAAATTAACATATTTATTAGCGCCAAAACAAAACTAAGGGAAAAGAAAACGCTCATTTTGTGCCTGAATGCCCATCTATGGGTCGGTAGAATAAGTTGCCAAAATTTCATAAATCTCATAAATCTGGAAATCGAAATACGTTAGAAGAATTAACGCAAAACGAACACAGATTTTACCCCCTCTGTATAATGTGTGATTTTGCACTGCGCAAATGCAAAAAAACGCATAAAAACGAGCATTACTTTCAATCGATGAGCCGGTGGACTAAGTTGCCAAAATTTCAATTTCATAAAATTCTTAGATCTGGAAATCCAAAAATATTTGGAAAGATTAACGCAAAACAAACACAAATTTTATCCTCTCTGTAAAATACGTGGTTCTCTGTTGTGCAGATGCAAAAAACGCATAAAAATGAGCATTACTTCCAATCCATGAGCTGGTGGACTAAGTTGCCAAAATCTGAATTTTATAAATTTCTCAGTTCCAGAAATCGAAATACGTAGGACGATTAACATAGAACAAATAAAAATTTTATCCCTCCTGTAAAATATATGGTTTTGCATTGTGCAGATGCAAAAAACGCATAAAAACGAGCATAATTTGAAGGAAAAAAAGTTAAATTAATACCGATCTCGCCAAAGAATATCTCCTTTGATTAGACGCAACCGTTTGAACATATGCAGCGAGACGAATGATGTGCTAAAATCAATCAGCAAATAGCCATTGATCACTTCAATAGAACCCAATGCTTCACCAACTTTTTCAATTGCTGCTGCATCCAGCCCGGCCCTGTAATTTTTTGATAAAAAAAATTATGACATTTTTATAAAAAACTTATTTCATGTTTTTTTTTTGATTTCTTTAATTTATATTTTAGTTCTATACTTAATTTTCTTAAATTTTATCAAATTTTATATATATTTTAAATCCAATTTTGAATTTTAATTTATATTAATTTAAAAAATTTCCTTATTTTTATTTTATCTTCAATTAATACTTTATAATTTTAATTATTTAAAAAAATTTACAAAAGCCAAAATCCATATCGTTTTTTAATCAAAACTATTAAATTTTTAAATAACTAAAGAAAATTAAGCAAAATTTTCGGAAAATTTAAAAAAAAAATAATTCTAAACGATCTCCACCACCTTAATTCGATTTCCAAGTAGCCTTCGATCACGTTACACTTCTTGAACAGATAATGATTAATTTGTCCGAACGAATCGATCGTACCTCCTCTGCATCTTACCGGACAGTAACCGTCGCATTTGATGCATCGTGACGAATTAGTTGGATCTGCGAAAAATGACAATTCTTTTCCCCAAGTAGACAACGTAAAATTTTGCCCTGATAATTTAATTAGTTGTTATCACGCTGTTGTTGTTCTTTTCTTGGAATCAGTGTAAGTTTCCAACTGTGGCAATGGTAAGAAATGTATACGACTTTAATGGACCGAAACATTTCTTATGATTAAATCAGTTCTTATAATTTACAAATTTTGTAATTCTCACCTCCTATCTTTTTTACTCCTCGTCTTCTTTCATCCGTTTTTAATACACCCTATTTTTATAATCTATTATAAAAAAGTTAAAAACATTTTCGTATTTCACTATCCACGAAAAGACCGAAACCGGCAGAAGGAAGCCGAGTTGAAGCATGTACCAGATGTAATCACGAATTGGCAAGGTGCCAACAGATTCCCCCTTTCAGGAATATTCACAATAAACCCCGTGCTTGCTACGTACACAAAAATAAATGCTTTATTATGAATGTTTAGCGCGGTAACGCAAACGAATTCGGAGATGCTGAGCAAAGCCCGCAGGCCAGAGTCCTATTTTCTGGCTAAGGAACAGAAAATGGCGGCTTTAAATTCCCTGGGTATAAAATTTCAGCTTCACAAATGTTGTAGGTCTGGAAATTGAAATATGCAGAGGGATGTAATTTACACACACGCACACACTCACACACACACACACACATACACACACACACACATATATATAAACGCGCATACAACCTACTCCACTATAATATGCGTTTTCTGCATTGCATAGATGCAAAAAATGAATGAAAAAAAGAAATAACTGGATTATAACGGACCAATTTCTTGCCCAAATGGGCAATCCACACGGCAAATATTTTCAGCCACCAGCATTCGTTTTTTCTTAGTTTCCTGGGTAGCCGGTGCTATAATACTTCGACATTCTTGAGCCGTAACACATCGCCTGAAAAAAACATCGATTTTTCAGTTTATCGATTTTTTCAAAAAAATCATCGATTTTTCAAGATCACCAACTTTTTCGAAACCATCGAATGCAAGAATTATTGAAAGGATTCCTTTTTTTTAAAAAAAAAGTATAAATAATTAATGAACAAAACTAAAAATTAAAGGAACAGTAGGCTACTTTTTTATTTAAAATTTCGTATTCTAAGCAATTTTTTCAGCGAAATTTCGTGTCCCAACTATATTTTCCGACAAAATTTCGTTTCCTAAACATTTTTTTTTCGACGATATTCGTTTTTTAAGCAATTTTTTCAAAGAAAACAGTGAAGCGAAGGTTGCTTGAAGTATGTTTTCATTAACATAATTCACTGGAATGAATATGGCATACCTGACAAGATAAACATGATGCACTTCGTACAAATCTGCTGGACATTTTTCCATGCAAATACCCTGATAAATGACATTTTTGCAATAATGGCATGAGCCTGGATCGTCTGGAGCCGAGCAGCCACCAAGGCACTGCTCATGGCATCGTTCACCATCATCGTCACAACCCGGACCCACTGTTTTATCTGGGTTCCAAGTATGCTCGCATTCTGAAAAAAATTCCAGAAATTTCAATCGGAACTGACATCCAGTGATTCCAAAGATATCTTTTTTTATGCCATAATATGTTTCAAGTTATCCAAATGAAGAAGGATCAAGAAAGTAAAGATTATCCGAATGAAAAGATTATCCAAATCATTCAATCTGTTCCGAATCTTGCTGTACAATACCATTTGATAACATAGGTGGGGATCTAGG